TTAGAAATGTCCCGAGCAGTTCAATTAATTCCTGGGCATATATAAAAGTCAGTATCTCATAAGGTCCTCTTATTCAGAACATGGAGCAGCCTGGGTGTTGGGAGTTCCACACATGCGGCGCGGTGCATCCTCGTGGGCCCCCACACTCAGGCCGTTCTACTATAGTCCAGAAAAACAAGGAAAATTTAAAACAGACACAGCAAAGCAATCCTGGGCACTTGGTGTCTTTTAAGTAAGCCAGTTCCTTGTACATGCCTTTAAGTGAGCACAGGAGTCAAGATGACCTTTGAGCTTTACTGTCAGCTCCCAATGGCTCCCAACACGCAACCATGCACCATGCGGATGAACCTCTTCTGGTTCACTGCTGCATAGTGCTCCCCCTCCAGCAGGCCCTGAGAGTCATGTGTTGCCCACATACTGTGGCATTGCTCTAAGCCATCCCCAGGCCCCTGCGGGGCCAGGGACAGTCCCGGAGGGAACCCACTCAGGGCCAGGCATAAAGTACTCAACCTTGTGAGATATCAGTTGTTTTCCAACCTGTCCAAATTGCTTGGTATGGAGCTCACCATCTCATCCTTTTATTGTTATTAGTATTGTTGTTGCTGTTAAGGTGATGTACAGAGAGTTTACCATTTCATAAGTCAGGTAATGAGTACATTTTTCACCTTCAAAAGGTGAATTGTCATTTATCATGGTCTATAAAGCTTATGAACTCTACAAACTTGGACTAAACAACTATTTGTTCCACATTGGGTGATACGTACGTTTCTTTCCTTCCTTTTGCTTAGTGTAAGCTGTTCCCTTCCCTCCCTCCAATCACTGCCCTTGAATTGCTTAGTTTACTTTTTCATCCATGTCCACTACAGCTGATGGGCCCCTCTGTTGTATTTTCTCCCTGTTTCCCTCTCATTCTGTGTCCTCCTCCCTCAGATGTGCACGTGTGTATACCATATGTGGGGTCAAGAACAGAGAGTCATCTAAAAACAATGCAACAAATTAAGAAGATGTCCTTTGTTTCTTGAGTCCTGTTTAGTTTGTTGTATATCCTTGCATTTTGGATTTAACATCCACATTTCAGGGAGACCATGTGCCGTTTCTCTCTCTGATCTTGGCTTATTTCACTCAACATGATTTGTTCTAGTTTCATCCATTTCCCTGCGAATGCCATTATTTTGTTCTTTCTAATAGTTGCATAATATTCCATTGTATATAGATACCACAGTTTTGGGGTCCACTCATCTGTAGTGGGGCATCTGGGTAGTTTCCATATCTTGGCTATTGTGAACAGTGCAGCAATGAACATGGAGGTGTAGATTCCCTGTGGTGTCCTGGATCCTGTTGTTCAGGATAGATACCTATAGCCCCAGCTATTCAAGAGTTTCAGATCTAAGGCTGGAGGTTTGAAGCCAACCCAGACAGACAAATCCAAATCTACAATTAGCCAGCAGAAAAACCAGAAGTGAAGAAATGGCTCAACTGGTAGAGCCTCAGTCTTGAGCAAGAAGGCCTTTCTAGCTAAGGGAGAGCATTCAGGTAAGCCCTGGGACCAGCACACATACCAAAAAAATCTGAGAGGGGGGAATGGAGAAGAAGAGGGAGAGGGAGAGGGAAGAAAGAGATAAGGAAGGAAGGAAGGAAAGAGGAGTAAAAGGAAGGAAGGGGAGGAGAAGGGAGGGAGGGAGGAAGGAAGGAAAAGGAAAGGAGGGAGGGAAGAAGAGAGGGAAAAAGGAAGAAAGAGGAGGAGAAGAAGTAAGGTAGGAAGGAGGTAGAAGAGGAGGGGAAGGAGGAACGAAGGAAGAAAGGAGGGAAGGAGGAGAAAGGGAGGGGAGGGAGGAAAGAAGGGGAGGAGGAGGAAGGGAAGAAGAGGCAGAGGAGGGAAGGTGGGAGGAAGAAAGAGAACAAGGAAAGGAGGAAGGAAGGAAGGAGAACAAAGGGAGGGAGGAAGGGAGGGAGGAAGGAAGGAGAGAGAGAGGGAAGAGGGAAAGAAGGGAGGGAGAAAGGAAGGAAGGAAGGAGAGGAAGGAAGGAAAGAAGGAAGGAAGGAGGGAGGAAGGAGGGAGGAAGGAAGGAGGGAGGGAAGGAAGGAA